TCGCCCGTGGGGAGGGCGACGCGGGGGAGGGGGGGGGGGCAAATCTGCAGTGAGTTGGCATCCAGATCCTAGATATCGTTTGGAGCATGGGAATTTTCTCGGATTCCTGTGAGGTTTGAACTATTTCCATGTGAAACTCGTGCAGAATCCGTGAATCCTAAATAACAACAACACTTTTATTGCTATTGTAAGCTAAGTGTTAAATTTATAAAAACCAGTATGGCACTAAATATAAACTAGACTAACGCCGATACTCTTAAAAGCCAAATCGTCCAGTTTTTTATTGCCGCACCTTTGTACTGAGTTTTTCTGAAGAACATTTGTGATGCCGCGTATCTGTAAATTTTCTTCAAATTATTTCAGTAAGCTTGCTTATTTCTACGGCTATCATGTGGTGGAGCGCTTTGTTGGACATGGAATTGGAACTATGTTGCATTCTGAGCCACTTATCCTCCATCATGGTGAGCACTTATTTGATATTTCCCTGCTCTTTTTGACCTACCTTACAATTGATACTCATCCGACTGGGAACATCTTTATGTAGCTTAGCACCTTAGCATATAACATTACTCGATTTATGGGTTCCTGCCCTGTAATGCTTATAATTTTTGCCAAGTCCAGTCGCTTGTTTAGAATATTTAGGCTGACATGAAGCAACACAATTACATGTTCAGTATGCCAATTTGTATTGGTTGTCGTAACAAATTATTGCCGGGAATATAGGAACAGGTTGCTGAGTTTCAAAGGACAGGGGTAATGTCGTCTCATGTAGTTGTTGCCAAGGATTTATACAGCTATGGGTTTACTATCTCCCATTCTTTCTTGGATGAACTGTTTTAAACTTTTAATAGTATACCTGAATTGTGTCGGACTAATAAGTTGACGTTTGAAGCATACAGTAGACTAATGAAAACCCTTTTTTGTAGCAAATGAAAACTCTGGTCGAATGGTTGAAGGTCAAACATTCACAATTGGTACGTACTCGGGGCTCTCCTTTTATGTTTCGACTTTTACTTCCAAACAGTTTGTAATTTTCATTTAAAACACGGTGTACTGGAATTTTCAGTGATTTGATTATGATTGAAAATGTTTTTCAGAAGATTAAACATTGCTATAAAGAAAGGAAATGTGAATAGTCTTCAATAAACATTATGTTTATTTATATGTCTAATCCTAGAAGCTCTTGGTATTTATTTGTAACTAAATTGGGACGGAATGGCTCTTGGAATTTCAGACCAAGTTGACAATTTTGATGAAATGTTTGCAGAACCTATACTTACAATGGACAAAGCAGAGTGTGTTACATGGGAAAATGGATGGACTACTGTCACAGCCGATGGCAGTTGGGCAGCACAGTTTGAGCACACTGTATTGGTCACTAGGACGGGCGTAGAGATATTGACAAAACTTTGAGTACATCCCTTGCTATTGTAGTAAGAAGTTGTTGAGCCATCTACTTTCAGAACGAGGTGGTTCATAAAGCAGCCCCAGCAGCCAGGTAAGCACCCGAATCTCCACGACAACAACTTGTGTAGGTTTTTCTTCTTTTCTTACTGCCATTCTCAGCCACGATGTCTAAAGCTAGTTACGGCAAAATCTATTGCTGCCCATGAATACTGTATCCATTTCTTAACTTTTTTTTGCGAAACGGATATCCATTTCCTAACTTTGAGATCAAATGCAGATCCACATGTGAGAAGCCTCCCCTTTATGTAGCAACCGGCCAGGGGATAAATGTGGGGACATGCTATTGCATTGCAAATTTGCATTGCTTGTGATCCCGTTGTGGGGAGAGGTCGTGGCTCGACAATTTACCATGGATGTAGTTTCTAGAAGAATCCCCAGATGTGTATATGTGGTAGTTTGGTTTGCTGGAAGTAGTAGGTGTGGCATGGATTTAGAAACGACGCGGAAAATTTCTTCAAGTTGCCTGCCAATGTTTGTTCCCGGTTTAATCAAAAGAACCATTTGTAGATTTTTTGTGACCCCAAACTTAAGCTAAACACTGGCCACCAGATATCTCACACCAGTAAGTTTATAACTACAACAACAGTGATGGCAGCAAGTTTTTTTTTTATGATGAGTGATGGCAAGAATTTCAACGCTTGCAGGCTAGTGTGAATTTCTTGGATGAAAACTTTGTTATTTATTGTTGACGGAGGCATTGGATTGGAGTTTGACACAAGTTATGGCGTCAGAGTTTCCATGGGACCCTCGGAGTTACGCACTCGATATCTTCTACAGATTCATTTCGTTAATGCTACTAGTAGGAGTACTACATGAAAACATATGTTTCTGTGTATTGCACGCCTCTCATGGGGTGGTTTCATATTACATATATAGATTATATGTCTTGACCATCAAGATCAAGTGAATCCCTAACTGAATCAACACATATCGGCAGGTGATCGTATGCCTATACAAGGTAATCTATACAAAAGGAGCACTCTAACACTTAATATTAGGCCGGCACCTGCAGACTGCAGTTCACTGGTTGTACCATTCACATTGTCTGGTCTATTAAGGATCTCTGCTTTATTTTTTTGAGACAAATTAAGGATCTCTGCTGGTTGCTGCAGTGCATGTGCCGTTGGAATTTGCTAGCAGGCCTTTGGCCCAAAGCCCAACTAAAATTCTCTTGATCCATTTATGCACACATGTGAGTGGTGTGAATGAGACTAAAGTTTAGTCCTATCCTGAAAGTTGAGAGAGACTTGCACCTCTTTATAAGGTGAGTTCTTCTACCACTTGTATGAGCATGAGAAGAGAAGACCTACACGCACGCTCCTCTGCGCCGCGCCGCGCCACGGGTTGCGGGAATGAGCCGAGCCAAGGACAGAGCTATGCACTAGTCGCCGCCGTATCGCATGGTTTCGCACCACCGTTACAGATCATTGCGCTATAAGAGGGGTGGCACACGAGAGCAGTTTACTGTTTTCAAACCATGTACTGCTATGACGCCACCTAGGGCAAGTCTGAGGGCAATCTTAATCCTGCACAACGGGAAGCTTTTGAGAAGATCGTTACCTCTTTAAAGGCGTCCTTCTGAGTGTTCTTGACGATTCCATTGTGGATTCATATATGTCGTTTGACAACGGCAAGGACATGTGGGTTGCGCTCGAGGCCAAGTTTGGGGCCTTGGACGCCGACAGCGAGTTGTACGTCATGGAGCAATTCTATGACTGATGAGCGCTCTGTTGTCCAGCAAGCTCACGAGCTACAGTCGCTCGCAAAGGAACTTGAGTACTTCAAGTGTGTGTTGCCGGACAAATTTGTTGCCGGAGGCATCATTGTCAAGCTTCCACCTTCGTGAAACAATTTTGCTACTTCCCTGATACACAAGAGACAGAAGTTTTCCGTTTCGGATCTCATTGGTACTCTTGATGTTGAAAAGAAGGCGAGAGCAAAAGACACACGCGCTCGAGTTGCTGAGGGAGCTTCTAGTGCCCACATGGTACAGAAGAAGAACTTCCAGCCCAACAGGTTCAAAAACAAACAAGAACAAAACTCAGGGCAAAGGCAAGTTTGATACAAAGAACAAGCCGTCACATCCTACCAACTTCAAGAAGAATTCTCATAAGAAGGGGAAGGGACTTTGCCATGTCTGCGGTGATCCTAATCACTGGGCTCCAAAGTGTCCTAACCGATTTGAGGAGCGCGAACATGAGAAGAGCGGCAAGTCCGCTAATGTTGTCATCGGTGATACTGATATGAAGGAATCTAGGTACGGTATTCTTTCTACCATCCTTTCAGTATTTAAATCTCTTGATTGGTTAATTGACACCGGTGCCAATGTACATGTTTGTGCTAACGCCTCCATGTTTTCTTCTTGCCAGGTCATAGGTACTTCTCCCGTGCCGATGGGGAACGGGTCACATGTCATCGGTGTCGGTACGGCCGATCTGAAGTTTACTTCGGGGAAGACTGTGCGTCTGAAGAACGTTCATCATGTGTCGTCCATCAATAAGAATCTCATTAGCGGATCCCGTTTATGTCGAGATAGTTTTAAGTTGGTTTTTGAGTCCAATAAAGTTGTAACTTGCAAGTGTGGACAATTTGTTGGAAAAGGCTATGAGTGTGGAGGCTTGTTCCACCTATCTTTGTCAGATATTTGCACTAAAGTTATTAATAATGTTTGCCACAATAATGAGTCTGATATTTGGCATTCATGACTTTGTCATATTAACTTTGGTTGCATGACGTGGCTAGCCAATATGAATTTAATTCTGAAAATCCCTACTGTCAAAGGATCCAAGTGCCAAGTATGTGTGCAAGCTAAGCAACCTCGCAAGTCCCATAAGACTGCAAAGGCAAGAGACTTGGCGCCACTAGAGCTTATACATTCTGATCTTTGTGAGATGAATGACGTGTTGACAAAGGGTGGAAAGAGATACTTCATGACGTTGATTGATGTACTCCACTAGATATTGTTATGTGTATCTTTTGAATTCATGTAGCGACCCGACCTCAGATGGTCAAGTCTCTATGCTTCAGTGTCATCCCTGGATCGGTAATGCTGACACACACAGTACTCGAAGGATTTATAATAGAGTGGCAATCACACACTTATTACATCGAATGTCTCAAAAGAGAACTTATTACAATAATATGGCTTAAGGCCATCTAATACGATAACATCGGAAGGCTTGGAAGATAAAGTGAGTCCATCAACTCCAACGGCATAGCTGAGCTGCACGGCAACGACCTAACAAACCTTACTCCTCGTCTGAAAAGTCTGCAACATAATACGTTGCAGCCCGAAAATGGGTTAGCACATGGAATATGCTGGCAAAGTAACACAGTAGAGTAAGAACAGAATAATGATATCACTATATGCATATTTGGCTGGTGGAAAGCTCTATGGTTACAGTTTTGCGAAAAGCCAACTTTTCCCTACAACAAAGGAATAGATTTTAATTTAACTATCATGGTAGTTGAAACATCATTGAGAAGGTTCCTCCAACTCAATCCTAATTAAAGTGGTTAACAACCCAACAGTATTAATTAAGAGTGATGAGATACATGTGATAACCCAAATACTAGATACTCAAGAATTGTCCATAACCGGGGACACGGCTAACCATGATTAGATTATACACTCTGTAGAGGTTTGCGCACTTTTCCCCACAAGACTCGATCGCCTCCGTTGGATTTCTCGCACTACATGGTGTTTGAGAAACGGATGACCGAGACACAGTCTTTCAGAAACATTAACTCTCTACTCCGGGCAGACCATACCAAACCTACATCTCACTACCTGCTGATCTGCCTCTTCAAGAGCTTCACGTAACTTACTCAACCATGCTAGAGCCCATAATAGCTTGTGGCTGCACACGGAAGTTTCTAGCATGAATCATCTCAGTTCCCTTTGAGCCTGGGTGGCGGTCCATAGGAAGATCACACGGGTACTCCAGGATTTCCAAAAAAAAAAAATAGGCAACATTGGGTACTCCAGATGCCTCAATCCACCCAGATGTTAATTTAAGTTGCCACCTTAAGTTGAACCATTAATTAACAAACTCACATCTGTCATGGATTTCACTCAAACCCAAACCACGTCTACGAGCATAGCATAGCATAGCAATATAAGCAACGCGTAGAAGTAACTCCCAAGGGTTTGAATGTAACAGGGTAATAGGTTCTACCTCAGCAACTACTTCCCAACCCACATGTTAATGACATCCTAATCATGCAATGTTGAGGATTGGAACTAATGCATAAAAACTAGGTGATAAAGGGGTATGATCAAAGTGTTACTTGCCTTGCTGACGATCTGCAAAACCTAGAGACTCGTAGTAGCACGCTTCGCACTCTGGGTGTTCTATCGCAAACAAACAATAACATACATAAGCAACAAGCAAAGATGCGCAAGCAAAACTCAAATAAAAGAGGATGACCAGAAGGTTCAACTTAAGAACTCCGGTTCGCAAAAAGAATCAAATCAAACAGAGCAACGAAGCTCAAACGACGAAAGAAACAAGATCCGTTTACTAATATGGACCTAGGTCAAATTTTACATAAGCAAACACTCATTTAAGTTGGTTAAACAGAAAGAGGGTCTCGAGACGAAGATCCAGGCGCTTGAATTGCCTGATTCCGACTAACGAGCGAAAAGATAAACATAAACTAAGATCGGATCAGGAATCGCGATCAGAAAAATCGTGGAATAAATCCGATAAAAGAGAACTGACGAACAGACTAGCGAACGAGCATTCGTTAGCTGTAACTAATGGGCGAAAACCGTTCGTTAAAACGAACGTACGGATGAACGTCCGCTAACTAGAAGAACCGAGAAAAACCGACGATCTGAAAAAACGGATCTAGGGTTTCTAGAAAAAACCCGAACGGTTTTAAAAAAACCGGCGGCTCGGATCCGGCGGCTACCTCCGGCGAAGGGCTCCGGCGAGGCGAGG